TAAAGTAGAGGGTGACTCGCCTCTAGGAAGCGATTTAATCCTAGCCAGCTTGGAGGGAAAAACTACTCGAGCGGAAAATGTTGAGTGAGCCGTTTGAAAATTGAGAAACGTGGGTGGAGGGAAATGAGCTCCAACCCACGGTTTTTGTAGTTGGAGAAGGGCGTTTAGCGCGCTTCGACGATGCCAATTGTGCAGTACAAGCAGCTTCGCTTTCACAATACACAATTTTAAAAAAACACTACATGTGTGTTTAAAAATTATAATTTTTGACACTCCCCCATAACTGCCTGCAGCAGGAGTATGTGCAGAATACAACCTGCAGGTGTACACATGCAAAATAATGAAAAGCAAGCAACAGCAGGTAATGCAGGCGGGCTGACACTAGCTGGTCACCCCCTCCATCTCCTCACCCTCCTCCTTCCCCTCCCCCACACTGTTGCAGGAGCAGCAGAGAAGGGGGGAAGAGAGGAGAGATGGAGGGACGGCTGCTTGTTGCCTCACACCCGCCACCCCGGTACCACTCCCCCTGCTCCCCCACACCCTCACACCCTCCCCCCCAGCGGCAGCTGCAGCGGTGGGACTGAAAGGAGGAGGAGGGGAAGGGAAAGAGTCGACCCAACACTCCAACACCCGCCACCCCCATACCCTCCTCCCCACGGCTGCAGGGAGACAAAGGAGGAGGGGGTGGGCGGGAAGAAAGCTGCAGAGCGGCTAAACGGTGTCGGCGCTGATAGGTCAGGGGCGGCTTCAGGGAGAGCAGGGGCGGAAAGGCCCGTCGCGTGCCACGGGGCGCATGGCGGGTAAGTTCAAGTGAAAGGGCCCGATCGTGTGCCTCGGGGCGCACGACGAGCAGGGCACTGTCGCGTGCCACGGGGCGCACGACGGGCAGGTTAAGGGCACCGTCGCGTGCCACGGGGCGCGCGACGGGCAGAGAAGGCGTCACACGCCAACCGGGGGCGGGACAAGGAAAAATCGCCACGCGCCCTAGGCGCGCGACCGGAAAATCGTAGCAGCGGAAACGTGAGGCGGGCGCACAGGCCAGAACGAACGTCGCTCTGATAACATGTCGAAACGTAAGAACGAATGTAGAGTTAGGTTGAAAAACTAGGGCCTAGGCTTAGGAGCCTAGGCCCGAGATTAGGTGTCGAGTGAGTTCGGGCCTAGGGTGAAGAGATCGAGTGAGTTGGAAGAGAAGTTGGGAAGGAATGATGCTTCACTATAGTTTCGAAGTACATATAGCAAAGGAAACAAGTGAAGAGGTGCACCACCTACAGATTTAAATAACTACACTAACTACAGCTACAGGCAGTTACAAATATAGGTTTTGACACCAAGACCTCCTTCACTTCTGCAGGTAGCTCCGAACTCGGCTTCTCCTCCTCTGCTGCTGCCATAACCAGTGCTAAGTAACCCGTGTTACTTTCGTTCACTGTCCGTTCGAACCGTGCCAGTGTCGTTTCAAGAACGTCCCCTGTATCCGTCCAGCTTCGCAGTGCTATCCGCTTCCCGTTGTTGTAGATGCACACCTTGCTGTTGACCCAATCGATCTCGGGGTTGAACCGCTTCAGGAAATCTCGCCCCAAGATAAAATCTAATCCTTTGATGTTGGTGACTGGTAGCTTTGGCTTCCACCTCAACGCACCTATATGCAGCTGCAGTGATGCTTCACCGTGGATAGGAAGCTTCGTACCGTCCACCATGGTTGCTGAAAACTGGGTCTCTTCCGCCTTCTCTCCAATTTTCTCCAATGCTCCGCGGTCACACACCGAGTGAGATGCACCGCTGTCCACCAGTGCCTGGAGGCGTCGCCCATTGCATAACACCTCGGGGAGTAGTGGTTTCTGCTGTGCTGAGTAGCCAAAGAGGGTCTCGTTAATAGGATCATAGGGTACATCAAACTTAATACCTTCCCTTTTTCCTATACCTGACTCAGCACTTTCCAACTTCACCTGGGGGGTAGGAGGATCAAAGGAGGGAGTGGAGTAGCGAGTAACAATAGCCTTATACAGATCTGCAGCAGACTCGACCTGAGCGAAGTGGACTGCCTCTGTCGGCGGGAGAAGGTCGGTTAGGGCGAGGCAGGCAGCGGCGTCACGAGACTCCCACACGTCGCGAGCGAGGAGCTGGCGCTGGTAGTCGGCCTCCTGCTTAGAAGTAGGCGGTGGAGTATTGGGCAGCGGCTAAGGCTGGGGAGGGGCTTTTTGAGCGCCGGACGCGTGTGCGAACAGGTGCACGCCATCCTGCCGCTGGCTCTTAAGGTGGCGCTGCGCTTGCGTAAGCCACGTGCTAAAATCTATACGTCGCCCTTCAGGGTCAAAACGAAGTACTCGGGAGGTCGCCACAGAGGGCGAAACTGAGAGCGCACGGCTGCCAGCCGCAGGAGGGGGAGATAATAAGTAACGCGTGAGCAGGCGTGGAGGCATGCTGGCAGGTAGGTGGTGCGGCATGTAAACAGGCGAGCGCCGTAGTGCGCTGCCTGACGTTAGGTGCGGCGCGCTGGTCTGCGGGTGGCGCGGCGGGTCGACGGGCAGGCTGCGCGGCGCGCGGGCCTACAGGCGGCTCGGCGGGTCGACGGGCGGGCCTACGGGCCACGCAGCGCGCGGGCCTACGGGCAGCACGGCGGGTCGACGGGCGGGCCTACGGACGGCGCGACGCGCAGGCCAACGGGCGGCTCGGCGGGTCGACGGGCGGGTCGACTCGTGGGCCTACGAGAGGCGCGACGCGCGGGCCTGCGGGCGGGCCTACGAGCAGCGCGACGCGCGGGCCTACGGGCAGCGCGACGCGCGGGCGTGCGGGCGGGCCTACGGGCAGCGCGACGCGCGGGCCTGCGGGCGGGCCTACGGGCAGCGCGACGCGCGGGCCTACGGGAGGGTGGCGTGGTGGCTAGGGGACGGGTCGCACTGCAGGTCGACCGGCGGCATGGTGCGCTAGTGGGCAGCTGGCTGGCTGGCTGACTGGCGGCTTAGAACTCAGCGCGCTGGCGTGTCTGGCGAGCTAGGGAACTAACCTAGGGCCTAGGAGCGAGGAACCTAGCTGATACCATCTCAGAAAATGGCTACAGCGGAATGGGTTGCATTGATTGTGTTGGGGTACAAGTACCTAACCCTAACTGTTTGTACCCCATATAGCATGACCCACTAAAGGCTATAACATTTGACACTATCCTACTATAGCCTACACAGAACTAGCACAAATATAGTTTGACAATTATTACACAATTTGAATCCTTGTGTCCGGCTCTCCCTCGGCCGCCGCAGTGGCACCATGTGCCAGGCCAGAAGTGCTACCTCTGAGTGACCGATTGCCCCGCCGCAAGGACGTCGTTATCTTCCTAGAGTATTTCCGCTACTCTAGTGACTTTATGGATTTTAACAAAACTTATATGATGCATGTTGTGTAGGCTATAGTGGGGTAGCCAATATGGGGTGCAACACAATTTGGGGTTAGTACTTATACCCATCATGTTGATAGTTCATTCATTCTTTCTTTGTTATTCTGACAGCTACATGCTCCAGCACTCTCGGCGTTGACCTCCTCCTCTTCGACCGCTGTCCTTGGCCGACTTCTTCTTATCAGCGTCCTTCGCCGGCTTCCCACATCCCCTTCCACCGCTGCCAGGCTGGTCGCGCTGCCGCAGTCGACCATCTTGCTTCGTCTTGGTGGCATAGTTCACCTGCGGCAAGAGCTCTATGGACTACTCAGCCTTCTACATCACCTTGTCCTTGAGGATGAACGAGGTCAGTGAACGTATCCGGCTTAAGTAACCCGGTACAATGTACCTCGTTATTGTCGTGAACCTTGTGGATTTTCATGCGCATGCAAAACGACATGCGATTGGATAAATGTAAACGTAAAAATATGAACGCATGTCGATTTTAGTTCGGTGTCCAACTTCTTGCAAACAGATTAAACTAGGACATACGATTGCCTCATAAATGTTTTCACGAGATTAACGAAACGGGCTACCAGAAAAAGTTCAATATTTTTTCCGAACTTCTACACCAAAAGACACGCGCCCTAAGGCTAATCAGGAAGTGGGCATAGACAGTCACAGCAGTTAACAATCAGTACAATGTAAACTGTAGTGATCAAAAGGCGAACGTATTGCTTGATATGGAGAATGCACTGAACCGTGTCGCTATCGCACGTAAGCACACTGGGATGCGCATTGCGATATTTGCGGCTTGGGCTATCTACCACGGCTCGACCACATTCATTCTGATGCCGGGTCACACCGCACGTGCCCCGGTGTTCATGGTGCTACTCGCACCGCCAAACATCGCGAACCTTTCCACCAACACTTTCATGCCTGTCTAACGAACGAGATGCTATTGATGGAGTTCGCGGAAGGCTATCGGTCATCTAGCCAGCAAACCTTCCTTCGCGAGAAGCAATTTGTTTCGCAGATGTTACCAGCTGGAGGGGAGGGTGCAAGGAGATGCGCGAGCGATAACAGCGAGGAGGGTGTTTCTGGCGACGGTGTGCGCCCCATCCATACAGCAAAACTGCAGCATCTTTCGATGGGCACCGCGATTTCGGCCAAGTCGACGAAAGGTGAGGTGGCTTGAAAAACGCTTTACAGTTTCCGTCCCGAGCAGAGAATCCAGGGCATGCTTTCAGTGGTTTACGCGTTACCACCCTACAGCAATAGGAGTCTCTGCCAGTCGTTCCCAGTGTTGAGAAGCTTTCTGGCCATAGTGTCATATGTTTGTCTATCGCTCACACGTGCTGGTTATGATTAAAGTCTCTACTAGCGCCTAGAAGAATCGCTGATTCAGACACGCTTTCAGAGTTTAGGGTGAAACTTGGTTCAGTCTTTCTTGACCTGGCTAGTAGTGCTTGGAACCAGTTGCACTCGCGGTTCGAAAGACTCTTTCTCCTTCAGCGTCGCGCTCAGCAGTGACGACCATTTTTTTATCAGTCTATTTTAGACGTGCTTCACAGACGAGCGCAGTCGCGGACTGTAAACACACATGTGAAAAGAATTTCCACAAGAAGCCATGAAAACGTTCGTCAAGGTGGTAACCCTATTGCTGCTCGTGGCTGTGTGGCAAGAACACCAAGCGACAGCGCTGAACCCGCGGGAGGTACGGAAGGCGAGCGACGGCATCAAGCAAAGACCAGAGTTCAAGAACGTCCATGACCTGATCGACAAATATCGTACGTGATATGCTAAAGAAAAAGGTTCTTCCGGATGGAGCCAATCGAACCGTGCTGTAAGTGACGCCATCTGACCCTTGAGGAGGCTGCGCAACTTCAGAGGCGTTCTTGTGACGCCTCGTTCGATAGAGGTCCCTCCTTGCGTCATGGCACGTCCGTTTCACATCAACATGCCTGATACAGAAGCATTGCGACCACTAACTAAGCTTCGTGCACCATCTTCTGTATCGTTATCTCCTTCGGGATTGGTGTGCCAGTCAACCCTCACAAACCTTTGCAAAATGCCGTCTGTTATGAAGCCAAGTAAATGGCGTTCGCATAATTATTTCTTTATTTGCACTGTTTCGTATAATGCCACGTCGTTTGAGGAGCCGCAGCACATCCAATTTTTGGCTTTCCCACGACAACGTACAGCAGCTATTTATTGTTATCCATTTCGTTTCTATGACCCCCCCTCCCACCATTTCCTTTCCCTTCCTCTTTCTCCCCTCCCCTGGGCAGTTCAGCAACTTATTCCGCTTACAGACGTCACCATTTTAATACCTGTGGGCATCGCGCAGCTGTACGCGTACACCTCGGATCAGCAAACGACTATCATTTCATATAATACCATCACCACACGCTATCTTTATCGCAACTTCACCAAAATGAAGGGCGGCGCGTCGCTCGACTCGCTGGAAGGCAGCACCATTACGAAGCGCGGTCCCAACTACCAGCCAGTTGTGGGTTTCCAGGGCACGGGCGCGACTCTTTGGAGCATGCTGATCATCCCCAACTTGTGGGTGGGCTCGGACTTCACGATCCAAGGGACCACGACGCTCCTCATCCCCGCCGACTTGTGATCCCCCTTGAATTGTTGGTGTGGGATAATGGCAGAGGGAGGGGGTGATGGGTTGGTACTGGAAAGGCGTATGTGTTGTGAGGGCTCGTCATGCAGAAGGACGGCGGTGGAGGCGACTCTGCTGTAACAGTATGATTTGTCGTTCTACCCCTAACCTTAGGCGTTCAGAGGCAGTGATGCAATTTATTGAATTGCAGCTACGAGGTTTAGATGAAATGGGAATAATAAAACCGTTTTAGAGATGTATTGCTAGAACCGTTGTTAGAGTAGGGTGTAATCACTATGCATCATAAGAGCAGTATGTTAACCATAAACCCTATTCACGAGCACCACTCTAGTAGCGATGCCTGTCCAGAGCTCACACCCCTACACATCACTCCATTCGTGCTGTGAATGTTAGGGCGTGTAAAATCGCCGAACTAAGAAATTCGGCCTTAGCAGTCGGGCCGTTTTGGTGAGCGTACCCATTTGAACCCCTAAGAACCGATCTGTCTCGTACCCGAACCCCTAAGTATCCTAATGGCCGAAAATTCGGCCATTAGCAGATTTTGCATGTGTGCGCCGATTTTACACGCCCTTAGTCTCGTTAGGGACATCGGGCAGTCAGGCCATGAGAAACGGGAATCTGTACATGCCAGGATGTGAAACGGATTGACGATGCCTGTCACTACCACATGTTGCGGCTAGGTTTTGTGTGAAACGGATTGACGATGACGGGGTTTTCCTGTACAGGTGAGCGCACGAGGCACTTGGAGATTCAGTAAGGGCGCGTGTCTTTTGGTGTAGACGTTCGGAAATAGGGTCAAACTTTTTTTGGTAACCCGCTTCGTTACTCTCGCCAAAACATTCGCGAGGGAATCGTGTGTCCTGGTTCAGACTGTGTGAAGGAAGTTGGACACTGAAGTCGACCAGTGTTCGGATTTTAACGTTTACCTTTTTCCAATCGTGTGTTCTCTGACGCACGCCCGAAACTTTGCGAGGTTCACGACGATGACGAGGGAAAATGTATCGGGGCTACCAATTTCGGATCCGGTCACGAACTGCACCGCACAGCCGGGTAACCTACAGAAGTCTAGCGCGACCTGTAATGTACTGTTTAAAGCTGAACTCTGATATTCGAACTTTGTTGTTCCATGCGCGACTCGGAATTGCTGACGCTGCTCCTCGACCACGAAAAGTCGAGATGGTCGACCACAGGTCGACCAAAGTTCGAATGTGTAAATTCGAACAAAAACATGAACTTCAGCCTGATTTGCAAAAGACACGCGCCCTTACAACTCTTCGGAAACAAAGGTAGAAAAGATAATAGCCCTTGAAAAAACTAAACCTGCTATGTGCAACCCCCGCTCTCACTCTAGACGACAGGCATCTAGAGCACGAGACAACTGCAGAAGCCAATGATCTGGGTCCCAGCCCCATGTACAGCTGTCATTGTCGGAAGCGCAGTGGGAAAGTTTGCGAGGAGGGGTACGTACGTGACCTGTAAAATCCTGTCCGTCGGATCGACGGGAGTTGTGGGTGGTGTGTATGGTTTGTCATCACCGAATGTCCCGCGCATTCCCGACAAACTGGTGTTTCGCACGCTGCCTTGAGCATTGCTTCATATATGGTAACCAGACTGCACGAAACTGTGTGATGCTCACGAGCTTCGCACTCCCCCCAACTGCCCACCTAGTGCACGGCAGCTCTTCAACGCCTTTCTTTCCAAACCGCCGAGCATAGCTCGGTGTTTGCCTACTACCCGGCCCGTGCACCTCTTCCCTGACATCCGTGACCGTGACCTGACCTGGCCCAATGTACTGTACAGTAGCTTCCCACCCCACACAGTTGCCCCCATCCATCACCTCATAGTGCACAGTACTGCCAGGTGCCCCTCACAGGCTGGCCCTCGGAAGTCGAGGTGGTTTCCCTGAGTATCCCCCATGTCAAGGTGAAGGTTTTTTACTGTTAACTGCGAAACGAAGGGAAGACTCAGGGCGTGTTTCTACACCGTCTCAGACACGGTGAGGCATGGGCGATGGTGAGGCAGGGGAATGTCTGACACGGTGTAGAAACACACCCTGAGTCTTAGTCTCCAATTTGTCTCACCAAGGGCGTTGGTGAGGCAGGGTGATGCGGCCTTAGTCTCCAATTTGTCTCTTCCGAACTTCCAATCGCCCCAAAAACGAGCCAACTCGGGGCTTCCGAACCTCCATTTCATGTCAAACCTAATGTCTGACACGGGATAGAAACGCGCCCTCAACCATGTCGCAGTCTGAAGCTGCTATCTTGGTCGCAAAACTCCTCCCTTCCTCCTCACGGGCACTTCAAACCAACTCCGTTTGGGTTTGATCAGGTATGCAGTGTGAGGCGTTCGAAGCAGCCCCGGCGGAATGGAAAGCATTGCTGAGGGCGCCCAGAACAGCGGAAGCGGTTGTGGCGGCCGCAAAAGTGGTGCGCACGGTCCTGGCTCGCACGCAGGAGTTCCTGTACTGGACAGTAAAAGAGGCCAAAGACGGAGAAGTCGTACTGGAAGACATTCGGTGCTCGGATAGCCTGAACCTGGTAGTGCCGTCGACGCCGGTGGTGGCTGCTTTCTCCGCCAAGAGGACGGAGCCGGTAGCGATAAAAGGAGGGACAGTGCTCGGGGCGATGGGCGAGCTGAGGGCGAAGTTGTGTCAGACCCTGCTGGTGGGAGATAACATGAGACCGGCGGCACCTAGGGTGATCAGAAGAGTATTAGCGGGGCCGGCGGGGACGTCAAGACGCAGACATGAGTGGGACGAGGAGCTAGGCAAGAAAATTGATTGGAAAGCAGTAAGGGAGAGGAGGGACTCCTTGGCGATCCCCTACAGGGCGAGGGATGTGGTGTTGAGGATGCACAGCAAAAACCTGCAGGTGGGGGGGAGGCTGGTTTTCCTGGGCTCCAGAGGAAACTGTCCGCACTGTGGAGGCCCAGAAACCCTGGACCACTGCATGCGTACCTGTCCAGTCATTCAGCCGGTGATTGGTGCTCTCTTGCGCTCTCTGGGAATGATTAATCCGACGGACCGGACGAGCTCGCTCGGGGACATGCTGTTCTCGGAAGGAGCCACGAAGTCCGGATTTCCCGGGGGGACGTTGACAGCGGTGACAATGAGAAGAATTTGGTTGGCCAGAGTGGATGCCGTTTTCCGGAAGGAGAGGTTTCAGAGGAAAAAGGTGGCAAGGGCGGCAATTTATGATTTTATGCGTCACGCGAGGCTGTACAGAGCGGAAAAGTTAAGGAAGGCAGCAAAGAACAGGAACATGCAAGGGCAGGTACTGGACCCGTGGGGGGGTCTGGCAGGTGATGAACGAGCGGCAATCGCAAGGATAAGCGAGGCAGGGGTGCAAGCCACGTGGAAGGTGGATTTTCTCTCCGTTTGGCAGAACCCCAAAACCTTCCACCGGCCGCCGTAAACGTGGTCAGGGGGGAGGCATCTCAGCTAAGGCTGGGGTGTAGCTGTCCCCTCTGGAATCCAGTTACGACTGCGAATGTATATGCATTGTTATAGTGCACTTGCGTTCAAGAAAAAAAAAAAAAAAAGGTATGCACTGTGGGCACATTGTATTTTCACGGTCCAGGAGGGTGCGCGGCACAGTGCTCCGTCGCATCCTGGGCTAAGCCCTGGAAAACGTATGTGCACTGCGACCTTGCTGTTGTGTCGCCCACTTTCACGCTATCACGCCTTCCGAAACGACCAACTTTTCTAGATTATTCCCATTACGGGCAAATTAATTCTCCCGAAAAAAAAAAGAATTGAAACCAAAGGTGGTTGACTCTGCTTTTGGCTGAACTCCCCCCAGTCAGCCTGCGCTGGCCCCTGCCTCACCAACGCCCTTCCCCACCGTCAATCATAGCAGAAGGTTGGCAGAGCATCCCAGCAGCAGCATTTCCGACAACAAACCAACCCTCACTCAGTCACAGAACATCGACTCCATTCGTATGTACCAGCAGCAGTAGATTGAGGCCACCGACTCAGGCTTCTATTTCCGTCGTCTTCCGTGACTGCTATTCCGGTCGAAAGTTAGTAATTTACGCCTCGTGAACATTTCCCTCCTCAAACGCTAGCTCACTCTCCGCTAGTTAATTGCCGGCTAGGTGCCAAGTACCTACGGTTACTTCCTTACTGCTTATGAGCCCCTCACACCTGCGAAGCGCACGTCTCGTAGTCTGCAGCGCGGTTTCATCGTAGCGTTGGCAAAATGGCGTTCGACGGTCGACAAAGACGACGCAACATAAGCGAAATGTCGTTTTAGGGTTTCCCCTTTAAATGGTTAAGCACATCTCTCGATCTGCGTGCATCCTCAGAAGCAGTTCGTTGGGACAAAAGTATCAGCCATAGTAGTATCTTCCAGGCTTCTTATCCTCTTTTCAAGATAGACATCCCTTTTCGCCTCCATTTTATTGATTAAATGGCTTGCCGGCAGCGAAGATGGCAACACTCAGTACCCGTACTCGCTATAGTTTTCTCGTTACTAATACTATTGCAAGCAAGCGGCGCGGAGGCGATACGGAGAGCGGAGCTGCAGCAAGCCGTCGCGCAAATCAATCAACGAGCAGAGTTCGCGACCGTGAAAGACGTCATCAGCCAATGGCGTGCGTCCCTCTTCCCCCTCGCGCTCCCCAAAAGTCCATATTCCTTCCCTCCACAGCCTCCCCTCGACCCCCCAACCCCCCCCGGCGCAACTCCACCAATCCCGCACAATTCCCTCTCTACGAGCCCTTGTGAACCCCTACGATCTGCTGCGCCCCCCTACGATCTGCTGCGCCCCCCTACGATCCCTCTAAGAGCTGCTATGACCCCTACATGCCCCGTACGATACTTCACGACCCCTTACGACCCCGTCCGACTCTCTACGACCCGCTTACGACCCGCTTACGACGCCCTACGCGGGTCGTCATTGCGCCGTCCACAGCGCTTTCAGGCCTCTCTCTCCTCCTCCATCCTCCGCTTCCCCGCTCTCTCCCACTCTCGCTCAGGCTCTCCCGCCGTCTCC